CGCCCCCTCGGCACCCCCCGCCTGCTGCTGCTGCCGCTGCCCCCCGCCCCGGGCACCGTGCGTGGAGAGGTTGCGGTTGCGGTCGCAGGGGAAGGGGAGGCCACAGCGGAGCTGCCGGGCTGCGACCCCCCCGCCAGCGCGCCCTCGCTGCCCCTCAAAATGCAGGCCCTGCTGGAGCCCTTGGTGAAGATCGACACCAAAGACGTGCCCCTCACGGTGCTGCCGGCTGACGCAGGTGGGCCCCGGGCCCGCACCCGAGTAGGCGTCGAGTCAGCATCTGTGGGTCGGCCTTCCCTAGGCGCCGAAATCCTGTGGAGTGTGGTCGCGCGAGATGATAGGATGGCCGGCTTCAACGACAGGCTGACAAACTTTGAAAAATGGAGAAAAAGGAGAAACACGTGGCTTTCCTGGGGGCCCCCCCCCATGCCCGGCGCTGGATTAGGCCCCTCACTACATCCAGTTTAAGATAAAATAATCCATGAAAAGGGGTTTTCGTGAAATTTTAAGACGAACAATGGGTATTTCTACCGTCGGGACTCGTAGTAGAGAGGATGTCTTTTATCGGACTGACGCGATTTTTTGCACCCCCCAAATTCTTTGATTGCAAGCGTTGGGGCACAAATGCCCATCATTGGGCATTGGAGAAAAGATTGTAAAAGGTCCCCCGGGTAGAAATGAAAGTTCGTATTTCATAGGATTTCGCGGAGGAGTCAATACATGGGAAACTCCTCCAGGCAGGCAGTTCGTTCTGCACAAATTTATGAACTCAAGACTGTGGAGCCATAGCTATGTGTATATTTCACAGATTTCATAGACGTTAGGGCCGGAAGGGACCTAGTAAGATCATCGTTGTCGTATTAGAACAAAAATGTCCCGTTTGTTTTTCTTATTTAGAGGCCCTCTCGTGTTGCGAGGCCCTAAACTGCGAGTAGCTGAAGGCTAAATCCGGCACTGCCTTTCATGACTTCCGGGGGGACCCTTTCATACCATCTTGCGCCCCGCTTGTGAGCCGCTTGAGGAACACTGCCTTGAGCGTTTCCCAGCCCGTGGTTCGCAACTCACAAGTGGGGCGCAAGATGATACGATAGGGTTGCAATGAAACTAAAAGTGGATCGACAAACTTTAAAAAATGGATTCTCCTTTAAAAGAACGTGGGAAACTGCAGCTTTCCCCTTGCAGGCTGGCAGAGCTCCAGCCCACCCAGGGCTGCTTGGGCCCCCCCCTCACCCTACTGCACGCACTGGGGGGAGTGAGGGGCAATGGGTCGGCACTGGCCGTAGGTGTTCACAGGTGGGTCCTGGTGCAAACAAGGTTGAGAACCACTAGCCTAGGGGTTACAAGCACTAATAACGTAAGCTTTGTGCATCTATAACTCCCAGTCGCAGTATTTATAAACATGGTTGTGCAGCGGTTTGGTGCAGAAGTGAGAACCTTCCTCTCCTTCCGGTCACCAATTCTGCTCCAGACTGGTAGTGACCCAAAGCAGATGCCATCCCACTGGCATTCGGTGTGCTCAGTCCCTCCAGCAAATAAGTGTCCATACCACAAAACTCGCTAGCACTGTGGCAGCATCTGCTGGAAAGCCAGGAGCTGATGGGATATGGGGTTGAGCTGTCCCACCTTGAAATGTGCTTCCAAGGCCAGAGTTTTGATACACTGCAGAGTCACTGTGGCTATGCCTACTCTGGTACAGTTTATACTGGAGTTCCCTTATCAATACAAGCATTAAATAGTAAAATAATCTGGCCAAAAGGAAACCAAACCAGCACAATGTATTTATATTATCAACCACTGTGGTATGACTTGTATTAAAAAAGAGAGAGGGAATATGCCACAATAGGAAATGCTTTAATGTCAAATAGACCAGAGACATTCCCGCTCCCATATTCCAGGAGCTTTCTAGGAGCAATTCCTCATATATGCATGGAGACTCAGAACATTGGCCTGTCTTTTTTTGAGGGTTTTCTATATGACCCCTGATAAAATTGCATGTGTTATCTGTCCAATGATCTTCTTCCCTGATTTTGCTGTGTAGGAATACCGGATACCCCGTTTAGCAAAGACAGAAACGGTCACGTAAAGCGGCCTATGAATGCGTTCATGGTGTGGGCAAGAATTCACCGGCCAGCACTAGCCAAAGCTAACCCAGCTGCTAATAATGCCGAAATCAGTGTCCAGCTTGGATTAGAGTGGAACAAGCTCACCGAGGAGCAAAAGAAGCCCTATTATGATGAAGCTCAGAAGATTAAAAAAAAGCACAGGGAAGAATTTCCTGGTAAATATACCACCTCTTCATTGTGTGAGCACTAGGCAAAGTCTCATGTCCTGACACAGAATTCAGAAAATGTCCCCGGTCACTGCAACACTTTGCATAGATTGTTTGTAGATGGTTGCAACAGGGGAAATGGCAGGCAGAGGGACACGTGTTCCCTGGCAAATGTACCCAGTCCAATAGGAACCAAAAAGGGAAAAGATACACAGGGAGTGAAGGTCAGCTTATTGAATGTAATCCCACAGTTTCCAATAATTGGAGGTTTTGGATTTAGCGAGTTAGTTTCTGGTGTTGCGTCTTGTGCAGAAATACAATACCGCAACACTGATGTTGCAAATCAGCAAATCCATGTAAAATGCTGAATTCAACTACACGATCCATGTTTGCATTGGGGGGAAAAGGGTTTATTATTAAAAGAAATAGAAAAGCTTTCATGACTTGCTAGCTTAGAAGCATCAGGAATGCTAAGAGCTTCCTTTGCTACTGTGTTCAGCCCTGTGTCAGCCTCTTTCTAGTACACTCCCCTTATAGAGATGTGAATCAAGCCTCCAGTCTGGGCTTCTCTATGCTGGTGTGTACCAAATACAGGATGAAATGTTTCTCCACCTCTCAGTCAAAGGGGGCAAGGAGTTGAGTCCTTAACAAAGCATTTTTATCCCTCAAAGTTTGGTTTAATAGTACTCATAAAACCAACACATTGAGGAGTTTTAATCAGTCTGGGTACAGGCTATGAAAACATTAGGTATTTACTTGTCTGTGATGTCATAATCCTTCTAGTTCTTCAGGCAGTCAAAGAGTAGTCACAACCTGTTTTTCTTATGTCATAAGCAAACAGAAGACAAGGAACAACCCCATGTCCTACCGAACATTCAGCCCCTCTGTATGCATCATAAAGAAGCAGAAAAACAGCGGTGCTTAAATGTTTGGGGCAAATGACCCACTATCATCCTTGTGGCACTGTTAGTTTTTGACTGATTTTGCTTATCGGTGGAGAAAGCCTGCAGCAACTGAGGCCTGGCCTCACTGAGCCTTCACCATTGATACACATGACATTTACACAGGTGTGGCTGAGAGTTAAGGAACCAGTGAATTTCCAGAGAAAGTTTCACATTTTTAACCTAGCTGCATATACATCTTTAGAAGAATCCAGGCTGCATTGCCATTTTCTTTTATACATGCTTGTGGTGTCTTTCATACCTGTGGTTCCTCTGGTTATCTGGTTCTTTATTTCCATCACCAAGCAGACAGCAGGTGCTTGTATGAAAATGCATGAAAGCTTTGTGTTCATCACTCCTTGAGTTGCCTCCAATCTTCCCCAAAATAGTAGTTTCACTGCTGACTTAAAAGAGAAGCAGGACTTGCCCTGTCACACCTTCATAGACTTCTCAGAATTGTTTTACATTCTAATAAAATAAGAAAGAAACCAGTTCCCAGGCAGGCAGTTGGACTCATACTTGCTCACTCTCCCACAGGCTGGGTTTATCAACCACGACCAGGCAAAAGAAAACGCTTCCCACTGACCGTCTCCACCGTGTTTTCCGGCACCTCTCAGAATATCATCACGACGAACCCAACCACCATTTACCCTTTCCGGGCACCCACGTACTCTGTCGTCATCCCCGGGGTTCAGAGCAGTATCGGCCATCCTGTCTGTGAGTTTCTTTCATTAGCTTGGATGAAATTCTCAATGTCAATTAGAAAACCCATTTCCTATACATTGTAAGCATGTGCTTGTATAGAAATGGTTAGAGCAACAACCCAGCAGTAGAGAAGCTGTTGTGAACAAAGCAGAATTTAGCAGGGGGAGCCTCTCGGGAAGTAAGCATGGGTTGGGCTACATTTTTTTGCAAAGGTCTCTAATACTTCAGTGTAGCTTTGCCCGTGAGATTATGAATGCACCATGCTTTCATGGGCACATATTCCTTGTACAATCATTCAGATCTATGCAGAGAGCTAAGGTAGTTCTGACCAGCTGGCATGTGTTCATACAGGCCTCTTATACATGTTACATTTATGCCACGATGAATGTGTAAATCATGGCATAAATGGCAAGGCAACCCCAGTTCAGGGTGCCAGAAAATGGCAAACCAGTTATAACATTGTTCTACAGTGTTCTATAATGTAGAACATTTTTATGCCTGGTTTGTAGGGCACCTGAAATTGAAGGTGTAGCAGGTCTCAGGCCAGTGCCGACAGTAGGTGGCCAGGGACTGTACTGGGATCTCAAACTGGCCCTAGACCTGCAGGCACTTGGCTTTCAACTTACCAGTGCA